GTGACTCGGCTGTGACGCGACTGTCATCGCTGCCGCGTCACAGCCGAGTCACACGCAGCGCGGCTCACCCGCCCCACCGGTCTGCAATGATGAGGACTGTACATATGCCATTTATAATAACCCACGTCACCGATCCCGACTCACCTCTTGCTCAGTGTGGGGGCGAAAAGTCGCATTTTCAAAATAATCAACGGAACAGAGAACGACAGAAAGCGAGGGTTTGCCAAGCGACGAAAACAAGGGGGTGAAGTAAGGGAGGCTCGCTAGAAAAAAGGCGTCGCTTACCCACTGTTCACAAATCGGACCCTCATCATCTCAACGGTCCAAACGGATACTACATAAAGCAACACAATCAGATAAAGGGGCTGAAAAGCTCAGGGAAAAAGTCTTCACCGCTAATCATTCCTTTTTGGGATGCGGCACGCATTCTACTTCCATTCAGAATCACAGTGACTTATTGAACAGTGAATGAGATGTGGTCTATGTACTGCTTGGGTGAGCCAGCCAATGAACAAGTGTTCTGGTCCTCTCAGACTAATATGGTACCATCATCGTCTCCGGAGATCAGAAGCCTTGATTGGTTTTAGAGAGAATCAGTCCGGGATTTCACCTCCGGACCGCACGCGTGATAAGCGGGTTACTTGCCACTACACTACTTCGCCTCACAGCATAGATAGTAATGAAAGAAAAGGGATACCACATAGTACAACAAATAACACCAAAGATGCTATAAAAGCACTGACTCAGCCGATCCTTAAGTCATTACATGGGTTTGACACGAGTTTTATTTTTTCACGAGTTCGAAAGGATGTCGTGTGCGTGGCGCGCCTGGAAAAAGACGGTCGAACAACTAACTTCAGTCTCTGTAGTCAATGCCAAGTATCGATGTTAACATTCAATCTGACAAAAAAGCAAAGGAACTTCCATTCATTCAAACTCGGTATCTCTAATAACGATCTATCTTGAATATGTGATCCAAAGCCAGCTATCGTGTAGGCTCCCAGAGCTGTGATCTCTATTCAGAAAAGTTAATATAAATTAAACATAAAAGCAGAATAAATGCATCTGATAATAGGGCTCAAAGCCAACAACTTGGTTTAGGGACCGTAGTAAACGCGCTCCAATCACAATAGTCGACGCGGGAAATAAAATCTTTTAAGCTCATCGGCGATTTTATTTTGCTCCAATAGTCTATTCTCTCACTTTTATACCGTTTTCCTTCAATCAGCTATCTTCTACTCACTCGTGAAATAGTGTGTAAGCATTTTCAAAATTGATCAGCCTTGTCATGATTGTCTCGGTTTTGATTTCCATATTTCGCAGTTTTAAAGCAGTCGATAGAATAGTGCTCTGCCTATGATTGCTGCAAAGTTCAATTGGTTATCTGGAAGTTTTAGGTCTTCCCATGTCCGTATACGACCCTTCACTTCTTAGTCAGTTTTTACCGCAGTATTATAAACGGATATTTCCTTTCAAACCATACGTGAAATGGCTCTGCTATAACCAAAGTAAGTTTAACCTTCAAGTGTCCTTTGCGTGGAGGACTCACACAGTGCATTTATTTTTTCGAGCATTTTTCTATAAATTTCTGACACAGGGGCTTCTCGAGGGGATGGACGTGTTTTTAGAACGTTCATGGTCTGTTTTGTTTTGATAACTGCTGCTTTTCGCCGCAGCCGTGCTTCGGGAGTTTTCACAAGATTGCTTCTTTATGAGCAATATACTAAAGCGAGACAGGACTGAAACCTGCTCATCGGTTCAGTCACCTAACAGGTTCGAGTCCTTCCTGAGGTTTGGTCTTCCTCATAAGTCAGCATTCTTGCGATAGCTTTCATGATCACTGATGTGGTCTAGTACTCAAAGCTTTTTGTCTACGGGTACGAATTTTTATCGGAGCCGTATGCTAGCTATATT